TTAAATTGAACGATTTAATTATTATATATAATTTTAGAAAAATATTTAAAAATAAATAAATAAAGGGGTGATGTTCAATTACTCTAAGCTTACTCACTCTTGAATAACTTTTTTTAAACGTTAAATTTAGTCAATTTAATTATAAAATGTAACTTTTCTTTCAATAAATAAATTTATAAAAAATTATATAATTTAAATTTAATTAATAATTCATCAAGTAACTTCATTTAAAATCATTATGAACATTGAAATTTGTTAATTTAGTTTTCGAATGTTGTCATTGAATAAATAAAAATATAAAATTTTATACAATCTTTTTAAAACTAATTATTTATCAATTAATATTATTTTAACAAATATTAAACTTTTTGTATTACAAGTAAAAATTAACTACGACATTATATCAATTAAATTGTTGAATTAACAAAATTTAATGCGCATAATAAATTATTGAAAGAAGTTAGTTATCAATATTTATTCTTAGAGTTAATAAATCTTCATCCTAAATTTATCATTATTAATAAGAATTTTATTATATTAAATAAAAAATTAAATTGAATAAATAAGCATTTTAACTTGAGAGATATATTCTGCATGTAAACAACGTGTTTAAATTTTTAAAAAGAATTATTAATATGACAGTAATCTTAAATATTATTTTATTTAAAAAATAAAAAATGCTTGATTTGGTGTATTAAATCGATAATTAAAATTATATAAACTTAGAGAGAAGATAAGATAAATAAAAAAATTACTTATTTAGAGTTTTTTTTTGAATTTTAGTTAAAATTAAGCTTTTTGCGACAAATTATAAATTTATTACATAAAAATATTTTGGATGATACAAGAGAATTTATTTATTTTAATGAATTTTAATTACTAATAAAATATTGTTGGTTCATCATGAATTTGATCGCACTCTTGATTACTGAGCAAGAAATATATTGAGATACGATCATAGAATAAATTTTAATAAAAAATACTTAACTTTAAAGAAAAAAATGTAGATAACCTTTTTTTAAATAAAGTGAAAAAATTATATAACTGAGGTTAATTTTATTTTAGGTTCAAAAAAATAAACATACGGAAGATTGATAGATAATTGAATGGGTTTCTCGACTATATTTGCACAGTAACTCGGCCATTAGTTTTTCTAAGCATGATAGCAGAAACATAAATGCAGTGTTCCTTTTGATAATATATTTTATAAATGAATAGTTATGCTTTTGGAATTTATATATTTATATGTATTATTTGTTTTCAGAATTTAATTGCTTGTATTACTTTTTAAATTATTTAATTTTTTTTAAATAAATGACTTGCTAATTTATGAAAAATAATAGAAATAATAATATATTATTAATTTATAAAAATAAAAATAAAATACAAACACGCATATACACTTGAATCTGGATTACCTATAGTTTTGGCAGGAACTGACTGCAGTTTTTCATTAGCTTAAACGAAATAAATTTCGCTTAAACAAATTTAATAAAAAGTGATTTTGGCTTAAAAAAAAATCACTTAAGCTTAAGCAAGCTTAAGTTAATTTAGCTTAAGACAAAAAAAGTAGCAAAAAAATCAAAAGAAGAAGAAAGAAAGGAAGGCTAAGAGAGATGGAAGTAAGAGCACAAGAGAGAGGGAGAGAAAGAAAAAGCTAATAGAGGAAAATGAAAAGGATTAGATGATAAGAGATGGGGAGGGGGATGAGTGGGGGTGAAGGAGAGAAAAGCTAGATGAGGAAAGAAGAGGAAAGAGACTGAGTGAGGCTGAAAGAAGAATAAATGAAAAAGGAGAGGGAAGAAAAAGACTAAGTGAGAGAAAGGAAGAAAGAGGGTGGTTGGGTTTAAAGGAGAAGGAAATGAGAGAACAGGAAGAAGAAGAAGGATGTGTGAAAGGAAGAGAGTGGCTAAGTGAAAGGGAAGGAGAGAGCTTTTAGGTAAGAAAGAGAGGATAAGAAATTGAGTGAGAGGGAATGAAAGAGAAGAGATGAGGAGGGGCTAGGTAAGTGAAATAAAGAGAAGGTGAGGGAGCTAGAGGAATGAAAGAAAAGGAAGTATATTCTTCTTCCTATATATTTTTGCTTAAGCCTGTACTATAGTGTATTTGCTTAAACAAAAATACACTACACCATGCAATTTTTACCAAAACTGCAGACGATCTAAATCTATATACACTTACATGCTTGCACCTGCACATACATTTCTTTTGTAACTTTATATAAATTGGTGATACATTATATATTTGTTATTATTTATCGAATACAATTTTTAACTAGAAATTTAATTTAAATAATTTTAAAATTATAACATTAAATAAAAATAATTAAAATTAAATAAATTATAATCATGTAAGGTAAAATATAAAAGTTATGAATGCATATTATTTATTTATTATACATTAACATTTTCTTAAAAATAAATTTAAAATATAATAAATAATAATGTTAAAGATCCAATTCACATATACAAATAATTTTTAAATTTTTTTTATCATAAACTATTTTTAATAAAGGTATTTAATAAAATAAAAATTTTATTAATATTTAACACACTATTATTAATAATATAATATAATAAAATATTTATTTGTAAACTAATTTTAAATAATAACTTATATCATTAATTTAAATATAAAAATTAAGATTGATTTAACATTTAAATTTTAATACATTATATCAAATTGAAGTTTTTTTTTTAAATGAACTAAATTTTAAGATTATTATGATCTTAAACAATCTTAATTTTAATCTATTTTATAAAATTTTGATAAATTATGTTAATAAAAAATATTATTAATCATATTTTTGTTTAATTTTATTTTTTTTATTTTTATTTTACTCTTATTTAATAAAATAAGATATTTACTAATGATAATTTATTCATTTATTAAATGTTAACAAAATTATATAATATATTTTTATTTAAAATATTAATTTAATAATATCAATACAGTACACAACAACTCATTGATTACGAATCATTTATCTACCTGAGAAAAAGAAAAGAAAAATAGTTTCTAATTACCATGATGGAGATATAGTATCCGAACTCCAATTATGGTGATCTTTATTATAATTTGCAACAGAATACCCACTATTTACTGTTAGAGAGTTGCATATCACATATTCACAGTCAACTGCTAATCGATTGTAGTACTATTTTTTGGGGTTAAATTATAGTTGTCAAAGAAAATGAAAATTAAATTAAACTAAAATTATATTAAAAAATGTGTAAATGTTTGGATTCTCTTTCACCCACGATGAAACTAAATCTGCCAATATTAATAACTAGTGACTTTCCGGGTGTCCTAAATTTATTATTAAATTATATAATTTTAAATAAAAAAATTAAAGACATATTAAATATCTTTTTTAGATTAAATATTTTTATAAATTACAAAATATTTTAATAATAATAATAAATATTATAATATATTAAACAATAATAAATTGAAAATATATTTTTAAAAGTCAAATTAAAAATAAATAATGAAAACAAAATTACATGACATAATGAAAAAAATCTTAAAATCACTGCTGGTTAATATATATTCTTAAAAGCATTCCTGTATAGTAATGATGATTTAAATTTAATATATAAAAGTATATCTTTGAATTAAAAAATATTTTCATTATTAATGGTAAATATTTTATTTACTAAATAGGTTTTTTAATTAATAATCTTTAAAAAAATAATTTTTTTAAATTTTTTTAAAAAATAGAAGCTCATTGCAAGAAAAAATATAGTGTGTTTACTTTGAAAGAGAATAGTTAATATTTTTTTATAAAAATTATAAGTACTAATTTTTGAAAAAAATATTTTTTAGATAATTCTTAAATGAACGTGTTTTAAGAAGTATTTTTGTTTTTAAGAATTAGTTTTCGATTGTACTCAGTAATTTTTTTATATTATACATTTATATTTTAAAATTTAATATTAGTTTAAATTTCAAAAATTTCAAATTTTATTTTAAAATTTATCTAATATAATTTTTTAATAATTATAATGTCAACTATTTTATTTTTTAATTAAAAGTAGTAGATAATATTTTTAAATTATTTGTATAAAATGGTTTGATTTAATAATACATGTGTAATATGAAAAAATATATAATTTTAAAAATGCTTGTTAAGATAACTCCTAAAATTATCCTGGTTTAAGAGATAGAGATAAATTATAAGTCATATATGTGTGTGAGAGAGATATGATGGATTATTTGTGTATCTTTAAAATAAAAAATAATAATAAGAATCATCATCATTATTATTATTATTAATGAAGAGTTTATTCTATTAAATAAAAATTATGAGCTTGACTATTGATTGATTCAATATAAACGACAATATACCATACGAATAAAAAACATATAAATATAGATATAAAACTTGAGATTCTTAAGCCAACTTTATTTTGATATTTGGGACACCATTCTTTTACATTATAAAGGAAGAAGAAAATATTAAAAAGAAGAAGAAGAAAAAAATATATTTACTTTCACTTTTTTAGGAAAAACAGTATCTTTTCGTGTATATCTTTTTTTTTTTCATCAACCGATACAAGGAACGGTAAAAAGACGCCCTTAAATTTGCTCTCAATACAATAAAATTGTGTTACTTACTAAAAGACAGATAAATCCTAATAACCGTTTTATACAACGCATTCACAGTTATCACTGTTAATATAAATATAAAAAGAAAGATTAACCTAGATAATGAATATATGTATCTTGACCTAGAAAAAAATGAGTAGCTTCTTTAGGTACTTTAGAGGCTGAGAACAGAAAGCAGTAAATGGGAAAAGTTATTCCATGCTGGCAAGGTTTGCATGTTAGTGCTTTCTCTTTTGCTGTTGACAATCACCCTTTCTTAATTTTTGCCACCGAATAATTAATGATACTGTTACAATTGGTTGTGTTGACACTTCACAACTCACACACATAGGCATATTTTAATAATAATATACTTATAAGTTCTATGCACAACCATAACTTTTGGGTCGTGTGTCTTATTGGCGGAGGAATGCTTGTTACCAACTCCTTTTAAGTTCCCAAATTCCCACAACACAAACACATAACACATCACAATTCAACACCCTGGGTGGGGGGTGGGGGTTGCCATTTGCCAAATGGAGAGGCACAAATGCAAGCTTTGCTCAAGAACATTCCCCAATGGAAGAGCACTCGGTGGCCACATGAAGGCTCACTTAGCCACCCTTCCCCTCCCTCCCAAACCTCAACCTCTCTCTTTCTCTTCTTCAGAAGACGAACACCATGCACCCGCACACAGAGAATCCGACGATAAGGCTCTCATTTATGGCCTGCGAGAGAACCCCAAGAAAAGTCTCAGACTCGCAGATCCCGGGTTCTCTTTCCCCGTCGACACTGGCTCCGTCGTTCAAGACAGAGAGAGCGAGACCGAGTCAAAGAACCCAACTCGCCGACGATCCAAGCGAACTCGGAAACCCGTTCAAGCCCAGAATTTGGAGGAGCCCAAAAGGCCCAAACTGAGTTTCATGGAGTCACCGACCGAGCCAGAACCGCTGAGCTCTGTTTCCGACACTTCCCCTGAAGAAGACGTTGCCATGTGTCTCATGATGCTGTCCAGGGACAGGTGGAGGAGGAACAAAGTTGTTGCTGTCAAGGAAGAAGAAAAATCTGTTGAAAACTCAAAGGGGTTGTTAGAAGAAGAGATCAAGTTCAGGAGAGTCCGCGGGAAGTTCCAGTGTGACAACTGTGACAAAACGTTTCAATCTCCACGAGCATTGGGAAGTCACAAAAGCATATGCGTTCACGATGAAGCAGGTAACATTAACAATAACGATAATGAAAGAATCTTTGAATGCCCGTTTTGTTCAAAGGTGTTTGGGTCTGGTCAAGCACTCGGTGGCCATAAGAGATCTCACCTCATGCCTTCTTCGTCTTCAACCGCTAACAATTCTCCTACAAGATTGAAAGAGAGCTTCATAGATCTCAACTTGCCGGCTCCGGCTGAAGATGACGACCTTAGTGTTGTTTCAGACGCCTAATTTGCTTCATTCATTATGATGATAATTACTTGTTATTTCTTGGATTGGGTAAAGTAAATGGTGAAGTTTTTTCTTTTTTTAATTTTATTTTATTGTATTTTTTGCTGGTAGGTAAAAGCATTTCATTTTCTTTATTGTTAGATCGAATGGTTTTGATGGTACAATGATAGCTTATAATTTATGTTTTCACCAACTGTCTGTTACTTATGCCTAGACTCTAAGGAGTTACATAGTACTAAATCGCCATGTAGCAGTTGGGTTCATTGTACTCATCTTGGCACGATATACTAGAAGCATTCATAGTTGTTGCAACGCAAACCCAACCCATTTGTGTTTTTTGGGATTTGGTTGTGGACCATCAGCTTTCGCCTTTAAAAGTACTAAACTGCTCCAATTCCGTTTCTGTGTTTTGATTCTGTGTCACCAGGTTTCTCACATGTAATTCCACTTTTTCATAAAAATAAATAAATAATAATCGGTTCGGTTATCTTCATCGTTATCTTTTCTTTTGTTTTTAGTCGAGTTGCTGTTGTTTTAGCGTGAGGCATTAAATCATCGTAAACTCTGCAATTCGTTTCCTTTATGTAAGTGCTGAAGTTTGTTCCGTGATGACCGGGAGGATCTACAGCAAAAATCTTCTTTTTTATCTTATTTTTAAAATTTGGGGAAAGATAAGTGTATTTTTGTTTTATTATGAAAGACTTATCTTGGTTGAATGTAACGAAGAATCCGGGGAGGGCCCGTACTATTTCTTATCGAAGAATTGGTCAGATTTATGAATTATGATGATAAGATAAATTATGTGCAGATCAAATGCTTAATAAATGATTAATAAAATAAGCCTTTAACAACTGGGAATTAACGTGTGTTTACTTTATGATAGTAATAACTGTTGGAATAGAATTTTAAAAAGCTGTGGCCTTTTTTCGTGCATGTGATGTCTTGCTTCATAAGAACTTTACTTGAATGGCGACGGTGATTTTCTTTTTTCTTTTTTTTTTGTACGAAGCGATAGTGATTTGTTGATTAGAGTGTGTCATAAAATTGATCACATCAGAAGCCTTCTCGTATCTTAATCAGTGGAAGTAACCATGAAACTGAGTTATGGCTTATGCTTTCGACACATGGAGACAGCCTTGGTCCTATGTAGTTTGCTTAATCCAGGGTGCGTTGGAGTGAAGATTGAAGGGGCGTCATTCATTTACCTATTACAAAACATCAAAAGGGAATCGACAAATTTTTCTGAAAATATTGTCGTATGTTTCCATACTTTCTGCTGAGATGTGCTTACCTGAAACTCTACAATGTTAATATAACGGTGTTATTTGTACATTTTGTTTTTTTATTTTATAATTTAATATTACTTTTTAAAATAAAAAAGTTTCCAATATGCATCCTCTTTGTCATTTCCTTTTTTACCCGAAACTATAAAAATAATGTGTATAAATTTGACCCGAGAATAGCAAGACCCGACGACCTATGTTTTGAGTCATTTTGCAATTTTTGACAAATATGTAGAATGTCAAAAATTTATTTTGCATTTTTTATATCGCTTTTGAAAATGATAATTTTGAATAAGATAATTACCAGATTTTTAGATTTTTTGTTGTTGTAAAAAACAATCTGCCAAGGAAAAGTGTTACCGTGGAATAAAATTAGTCAATTGATGATTCAACTTGATAGATTAATAAATATTTGAGGAGTTAAAAAAAAATATGGAGGATTGTTGCTAATAAGAAGTGACAGAAATGAGAATCTTTTACTACTGGTTTTGATTTTCATGCGCTTGACATGATAATAGCTTTCTCTCTGTTTATATCATACTTTTCCTCCTCTACTTTCTCCTTCCCTCTCGGCCATTCTTTTCTCTCGTTTGTTTCTTTTGATTCAACCTGCTCTATTTGATTTTTCATGATAAAAAGATAGAACAAATTACAAAGCTTGGCATCTAACCATTTGCCCCGTAATGCAGCTGGGTCCTCCTAACACTAACCTCTTTGTCCTTCATATATATTCTTTATATTATAATAATATTTATATTTTATTAATTCATAAAAAATATTTTAAGTAAAAAGTTCCAATAATGATAATATATATGAAATTTAAGTACTTAACTATTAAAAAATAAAAATGAAGTTATTAAAGTTAAAATTATTACCTATACAAATATAAGCATAGCTAACTTTTTAAAATGTAAACATAAAAAAATGTTATAATAGTCACACCTGCATCCTAACCTGCAATAGCCAATAGAATATTTGATGCTTCGGCCTCAAGGTCCAAGGGGCCTCAAGTGTTGGAGTAGTAGTCTAGTAACTATGTTTTAACCTTTCAGCCCAATCCCGAACATAAGTAAGGGTCATGTTATCCCCATAGGAAATACAAACAAAATTGTTGAAAAAAATTTGAACAAAATATTTTTTTATTTCTTAATAAAATAATAAAAATTTCATCTCAAAGTATAAAGACATAATTAGTGAAAATACACACTGATAAAAATTTTTAAAGATAAATATAATTTTAATTCTTTGTATAAATTATGCAAAGATAGTTCAATATATCTACAATTCACACAAAATTAAAGTCTGAACATAATATAGTGTGACTTGTGCATAAAATTAAATATAAATTATTCAAAAATAATATAACTTATGCACAAAGTTAGAACAACATCTAAAAAAATAAGTCATCCAAAGATAGTATGTTTTATATTTTGTTTAGGTCTCTAACATAAGTAATTTATGTGTAAAATTCAAATTATACTACACTTATACAATGTGTGTATATATATATAAAAGATAAATTTAAAGTTTTCACCGTAACAAAACATGTCTAAAATTTGTATTCATTTTGATTTTTATATATAAAAAATGGTTTGATATTTAAATTATTAATTTTTTTATTTGTATAACATTATATTTGATAGAAATTAAGAAATAATATTTTTTATTATAAATTATAACACTTAATAGTATTAATTAACGTATTGAATTATATTAAATTTTACAATGTTTAATAAAAATGTTCTGTAGATAAAAAAAAAACTACATGAATGTATGGATGGACAATGTATAATTAAAAAAAAAACAAATAAAAAAGACATATATTATATATATCACTTAGTTGTGTGTCCAATGTCAGCTTGTGATTCCTAGCATTTTAGCCTATAAAAGCATGTCTCTATGCTGTTTTAAACTTCTTTTTAACCTGAAGTAATTTTGGTACTGTGGTATCAAAACAACAAGTGGTTATGAATCAACACATAGAATCAGTGAAATTTTAGTGAATAAAACATACATAAAAAAATTATTAGTCAAAATATCTTAATCAACATTAAGGCAGGCCTTTAATGAAATTGGACATAATTAATTGAATTTTGATAAAATAAATAATTTTGTGTCTAGATATGATACTAAAATTCAATAAATTATATATATATATATATATATATATTAAGTTGGAATAAGGTTAATTAATTCATATGATGATGTTTAATAACTAATAAAATATTTAAAATAATATAATTAAGATCAAACTTACGTTTTACAATTTATACTTTTATTTTTATTGATTCACTGTTCATAAAATATTCAGTATTGTCTCTCTATAGTTAATTTTAATTAACAATTTGATCAAGAATAAGATATTCATTGAGAATAAAAGATTATATTATTTGTTAACTTAGTTCTTCAGGATTCTTGTGGTGAATCATTATTCGATCTTATTGAAAAATTCACGCACTTTTGTGGTAAGTTCTCATTTTTAGTTTAATACTTTTTTTATGGAATAATTGAGTGTTATATTTTTTTTATTTTTTCTTACTTAGTAAATTGTTGTCATTTTATCTTTGAGAAACTTGCTTGAATTGGATATTTAAACTCTAACAAAACTCTTGTCTTGATTATAGGAATGAGAATCACCTCACGATTGCCTTTCATAAGTAGAAATATGCAACACAGTTTATAGACTTGCAACTTATAATTTAATTAGATTGCTCATAAAATAGGTAGTCAAATTATAACTTTCTAAGTTGGTAAATGAATAATATTTTAAACTAACTTTAAAATGATTAGTTATTTTAGTTTATGAACATAAAAAATATTGGTAAGCAAAATGACGAATCAATTAAACAAATATTAAATATAAAAGCTAAAATTAATTTTTTGTTACATATCAAGTGATAATGCGCTGCGACTTAGAGTTTTCTTAAAGAAATATTTTCTTGCTCAAGGTGTGAGACAGAGCGTCGTTGGCCTCTACTAGGGGCTTTGTACCCTTTCGTGTTTTTTTTTGGCATTACTGCAAGTTGAAAGGTATCTGTGGGTTTGTTCGGAAGGGGTTCTTCCTTAGATCCCCTTCTTTTGAGCAGCGGAACACATGGAACGAATTGAAGTAGATAAATGCTCAACATAGGAGGTAGATTTAGTGAAGCGAAGTACTAAAAAGGTAAAAATGGATCCTCATCTTCCCTTAGAGCTTCCCAAGCCGCTCATTCAAAAAGATGTCCTGTTTGGTTGCTCAGAAAATTAGGTGTCATCTAACCCTAACCTCTCTGCCTCTATGTCATATAAGGATAAGGTATTGTGCTTAAAAGACTCTAATCTGGTACTAAATGATAAAGAAATAGTAAAATCTATCTTGGATGATCTTAATCTCTCTTTTGAACATGATGAGTATGATAGTTTGCCTGATACCCTTCTAAATCTTTGTCCTAAGTTAAAAACACCTTTGGAAGACTATGAGCTCTGGTGCTCTACCCGGAAGCGTAGCCTTATAGTAAAGTTATTAGGGAAATCTATTAGTTTTAGTTTTCTAAATAAAAAACTCAATAATATCTGGGCAAAAAATTGGTACAATCACTATACTGGACCTTAATAACGATTTCTTTTTAGTTAAATTTGATAACTTAGAAGATTACAAGCATGCCCTCTTTAAGGATCCTTGGCTTATCCTTGATCACTACCTTCTTGTCCAAAGATGACGACCTTTATTTAGGCTTATAGACCAAAACTTAAAGAAAATAGCTGCCTTAGTTCGTATTTATGATCTCTCCCTTGAATTATATAACGAAAAATTTCTTTGGCAAGTGAGATCTTGCCTTGACTCAATGCTAAAAATTGACCCTCACGCCTCTCTAGTGTCTAGAGGTAGGTTTGCCCATATCTGCATAAAATTAGACCTTAGACAGAAATTAATACCCTATTTTAAAGTGTTAGGTCATGAATTTAGCGTAGAATATGAAGGCATTCACCTGATATGTTTTAACTGTGGGCATTATAGGCACTAATTGGAGTCCTGCCCTGAGGTAC